CATGGCAAAGTTTAATGAGTAGCAGACAAACAGGTTTAGAGATGAAGCTAGATTGACTTTGGACTTTTAGATGAAAATTCTGAAGGTTCTGAAGGAATAGCTCCATCATGAGAGTTTGGAAGCATGTAGCTTACTTGACTGCACAAGGTCCAGCATTTTTGTCAAAAACTCATTTATTGTTATGCATCCTTGTATAAAAAACACCTTGTATCTTTGATGTTTTTTCCATCTTCTTTAAATGTTTATCCTTGGTTCATTATCATTTGATACAGCTAAAATAACGAGCAGATCTGAGATCACAGAAGAAAATAATTATTTTTAATGTTTTTTTTTCCCCAGCAATTAGAGGTTAGCAGGACTTGGAATATAATTCTTCCATGTAAAACAGTTAATATATGAATCCTGAAGGTAATCTGGCATCTGTTTCGTAGAAGAGGTAACTTCTACAGTGCCATACAGATGTTATATTTTTCTAATTCTAGCCACAACCCCCTTGAAAAGTCTCTCCAAGCCTCTGTATCCTGCTAGGGTAGAGGTAAGGGTCAGTCCATTGTGCAGGATGTTACCAAAAGCAGTGTAAGGAGAGGTTAATGATTAGCCTTGAATGTTCTGGGATTTAACCAATGTGACTATGACAAGGCTTTAGTACTTACTGTGGTTTTGAGCAGAGACTCACAAGTAAGGTCTTAGCAATGGCAGAGGTTTCCTACCAGGTGGAAATACACCTATTTGAAAAAGGAGATTTCACAAGAGATGAAGAAGGATTCTCAGGTGACTCATGGCACAGAGACTATGAGTGTGTTGAATTTATGGGACGTTTACTACTCATAGTTTACTACTCAAGCAGCTCAGTCATCTAAGGTTAATAGACCTCCTTTGGAGACATGAGGAGAGAATGGCCCATAGAGAAAGCTAAATTCCTAGGATGTTAAATCCCAAAAGGCTAGAAACCATATCAACTCACAGTTATGTTTCTAGTAATGTAACCTGAGAACTTATATAAACAGAAAAATAACTTCATTCGTGAAACCAAGTTGGCCCCACAAAGAGTGGGCAATTTTATTAGAGTATTTGGATTGTTATTGAGTACAAAAATTCAGGTCATTCTAAATTCTCTGGTTAGAAGGTTGCACTCTTTAAAAAAGTACTCTTAAAGGGGAGAGTACTCATTCATCCCAAAATATATGCTGACTTGCTATAGTAGTTAGAAGATATGGTAGCCATAAAATGATTATTAAAACTGTCACAGTCCCTGTCCCATGGAAATTGTGATCTAGTTGAGGCAGGAGGGAAAGTACTGAATGAATCATCAAGAAAATACATAGTTATGGACTGAATAAGTGCTTTGGAGCAAAAGTACCCAGAGATATGAGAGCTTATAATGGAAATAATTAATTTGGTCTTGATGTCAGAGGATTTCCTGAAGAAATGCCAGTTTGTGTTGAGGTCAAGTGTTTGAACGTGAGTTACCTATGGTGTGTTTGGTGGGGTGAAAGGAAGGCAGGTGAAGTATCCAAGGAAGTTTAAGATGCTGAAATGAGAGGGATTGTGGCATATTCTATATAATAAACGTGGCTTCAGCTCTGAGATGTGATGAAAAATGAGATACTGTGGGAAATAGAGCTATCGAGGTAACAGAGACCAGAGACTTACAAGCAAGCTTGTGCTAAAATCATAAGAGACCACTGAAGCCAGAGAATTCACACATGGCAGCAATGTGGAGACCAGATTAAATGTAGCAAGAATGAATATAAGTAAGTCAAGTAGGCAACAGTGATCCAAGGAAGAGATGATTATACCTTGAAGTAGGATATGGGAAGTGAAGGTGAAGAAAAGGGCATGGATTTGGAAGATATGTTGGAGGTAAAATTAATAATTTTTATGACTGAAGAACAATTCTAAGTTCCTGATATATGCAGTGGGGTGACATGTGATGCTATTTACATACTTAAGGAAGACTGAAGAAAGACCAAGCTACAGGGTGAGAGAATGAATTCAGATTAATTATGTCAACATGAAGTACCTTAGAGGCAGGCATGTAAAGATTGTTTAGCCAGCACATGGAAGAGTTGTCTCAAAGAGCAAAGAAGCAATCTGAGAGAAAAAAATGGAATGACTACTATATTATTGGACGATCTTTAGAGTATAAAATATATTCCTGTATATATTCATCTATATTATCCAATTTGTTGGCACATAATTTTTTGTAGTAGTTTCTTATGATTCTGTGTATTTTGGTGGTATCAGCTGTAATGTCTCCTCTTTCATTTATGATTTTATTTAATTGAGTCTTCCTTCTTTTTTTAGTCTATCAAAGATTTGTCAATTTGGTATAGCTTTTCAAAAAAACAGGTCTTAGTTTTATTGATCTTTTATACTGTTTTTTCTGGTCTCCATTTTATTTCTTCCACTCTGATTTTTGTTATTTTCTTCCTTCTGCTAACTTTGTACTTAGTTGGTTCTTCTTTTTATGATTCCTGGATGTATACAGTTAGGTTGTTTATTCAAGATTTTTTTTTTATAACACATGAATTTGTTGCTGTAATCTTTTCTCTAAGAACTGCTTTTGCAGCATCACCTAGTTTTTGGTGTGTTGTGTTTCCATTTTCATTTGTTTCAAGTCTTTTGAATATTGATGTCTTTTATTATTTTATTCTACCTTTTGTTTCTAATCGACTCTGAAATCTTTTTTATGAAATCTGTGGCAATGCTATAAAACTATGATTATTCATAGTCTTGTTACTGAACTGAAGCTTGGGTCCACTTGCCCTCACACAGTGAAGCTAATCTACACTCCCCAGGTTGTGTTGAAGGAAAGTACAGTATTTACTATAGGTGGCATACAAGGACTTCTGGACAGCTAATGCTCAAAAAGTCCAAATTCCCTGATGGGTTTCAAAAAAGCATTTTTGAAGGGAAGGTGAGGGAGGGGAGTCCCAGTGTATGTGATCATCTTGTGCACAATTCTGTGATTGGTTGATGGTGAGATAACAGGACAGTGTTACAGAGGTTAACATTATCAATCTTTAGGCTCCAGTAGGTCTGAGGTCTACGTGCATATGGTCATCTAGTAGTTAATTTCTTCAATTTGATGGGGGTTTTGGCATCTGTAAACAACTCAGGAAATATTTATCAGATACTGTATCTGGGTACTTCAGAGAGGAGCTAAAGCAGAAGCATGGGTGAGGGGGTGTGTTCTGGGAAGGCCCCACTGGGTCCTGCTAGTTACAGTGTCTCACCTTCATGTTAATTTTGAATATTATGCAGAAAATGTTCAAGTAATTCTCTTAGTTTCCTTTTCAGCTCAAAAGAAGAAAAGTAACCATTGTCCTCCAGACCCTGTACACATAGAAATACATTTATTATAATATTTTATATATTTCATTATTCTACTTCTCCCTCCAAACTTTGCACTCTGTGAAAGCTTTATTTGATGAAAAGAGACAACTCATTATTTGGGGAAGAGGCAAGTATATGAAAGATTCATCCAAGGAGAGACCTGGTCAGACACCAGGTCACTATGTTTCTCATAAGACACTAAGAGATTTACACCTCATTACATTACTGACCTCACAGTATACTTTCTAGTTTTATCTTTAAGACATTGTTGAGACAACAGAAGACTTTGGGGAATGATGAGAACACAGTGCATTTTTTTCAGGTTAAATCACAGTTATTAAATAGGAAATTCAATTCACAATTAAAAATAGCAGTTTTGGTCATCTGGTCCCAGATCATTGGTCTTACGAGAGTCAGCTTTTTAGATAACTGCTCCAGCTTTACATTAGTATTTTTCTCTATTGGAATTCGATATTATTGAAACTTGAGCTATACAGAGAACCTGGAGGTGAAAAACATGTGGAGGCTGATGCAGCATGAAAAAATTTGGTATTCTATAAAAAAATTAATGGGGCTGGATTAATCATCACATTAACTTGGCAAGATCAGATACCTATTCTTGGAAAGTCTCTTGACTAAACAAACAGAAACATTCTTTCTTTTCCCCTCCCCTCTGCCCAGGCAAATGTCCTTTTCACATACTGTGGGATCTGATATACTTAGAACTTGAAAGAATCCTTACGATACAGTCTCTTATCTGCTTAGTTTTCACCCCATAGACAGCAGGATTCATAGTGGGAGGTAGGAGCAGATAAGTATTGGCCACAATGATGTGGCAAGAGGGAGGGATTGTGTGGCCTCCAAAACAATGGGAAAAGAAGGAGAAGAAAGCTGGACTGTAGGAAAAAAAAACAATGGAAGAGATGTGAGCAGTGCAGGTGCCAAAGGCCTTCTGCTGAGCATCTGCTGAGGAGAGGTTGACCACTGCCCAGAGGATCATGGTGTAGGAGATCATGATGCACTGGATGTCAAAGCCCCCAATCAGAAGGGCAACCATCAGACCATAAATGGCATTGACCTTGATATTTCCACAGGACAACTTGGCTACAGACATGTGGTCGCAGTAGGTGTGGGGAATGAATTTGCCTCTGCAGTTGGGCAGGCGCTTGATGAGGAAAGTGAAGGGAGTGATGAGCAGCACCCCTCTGAGAAAGGTGGAGAGCCCAGCCTTTGCAATGACAGGATTGGTGAGGATAGTTGAGTAGTGCAGAGGGTAGCAGATGGCCACATAGCGGTCCAGGGCCATCAGCATGAGCACCTCAGACTCCATCCCTGTGAAGGTGTGAATGAAGAACATCTGAACCAGGCATTCATTAAAGCCAATTTCCTTGAGATGAAACCAGAAATGCAGAGAGCTTCAGGGATTGTACTAGTGCACATGACAAGGTCAGTGAGACAAAGCATGGCCAAGAAGTAGTACATGGGCTTGTGCAGGGCGTCCTTATAGTGTATGAGGTAGAGGAGTCCGCAGTTCCCTACCACAGCCACAGCATACATGGAGCAGAATGGGAGGGACATCCACATGTGCATGTCCTCCAGCCCTGCGATCCCATTAAGTATGAAGGAGGCTGGATTCATGTCTGTTTGGTTCAGCACTAGCATAATCAAGCTAATGTGATCATTAATCAGCTACAGCACTTGTACATCCTCCTAGAAAAAGATAAGAGGAAGAATCATCTTGGTTATCATCACTGCCTTCATTTCTTTTGCCTTTTTTCTCCAAGATACATTTCAGTATCTTGACTGAAATTTTTGACTTCCAGGGAATATGAGCATAAACACTTTTTTAATCAAGTGGATTCTTGTATGTGCATATTTTTTTCACTCATTCATTTATATATGTAGTCCACAAATACTTTTTAGTTAATTCTATAATGGGCAAGTAGTATTCATTTATAAAATAAGAACTTTTTGTTATTATTTTTGAAGCTATTTTTGTTGACATATTATTTAAATATTTATAATCCAGGCAGCAAAATCATGAAACTTTAAGTATATCATATTTTGAGAAAAAATAGTGGTTTCTCTTTTACATGGGTACTAGGAGGCTGGAGCTGGGGCAAGATATTGGGCCAAGGCCAGATGATGACATACTTTGTCAATTTCTGAATAGCAAGATTCTCCTAAGGAAATGGTCAGCCTGAAGGCCATATTTTAGCTACCTGTTTCTCAGATATTATATTGAAAAGTGCAGGACTCAGAATGCCTTAAGAATTACTGAAATGAAGGTTAATGGCTAAAATTTGGAAAACACAAAAGTAGCCTGGAAGAATAAAACCATAACATAAATGCATAAATTACTGTAAAAAGATAAACTAAGTGCAACTTTATATACCATCATCAATAATCTTCATTTCCAGAATTTATAGGCAGTGATTCCCCCCATCCCCACACCAGACCATTCTCAATTCTTATGACATGAAAATAGGTTCTTCCTATAGATATAATGCAAAATACATATTGGCTTAAAATATATTTTGGCTTCAGTGAGAATTTACAGGTAGATCTTAATTCAAGTGAAATCATACACTCATAAGAGAAAGAGGTAGGCAAGTAGGCAGCAGGAGAAATTTGAACATAATTCTTATGACCTAGAATTGTTCTCTGTATATTTCCCATTATTCTCTGACATGGCAGTGGTCCATTCCTGACTTCCACACAAAGCAAGCATTCCTACATGGTTGAAGGGTTGTTTATGTAGATGCATATGTATTATAATCATTTAAATAGATTCTTAAGGCCAAAGGCAATAAATAAATATTTCTACCAGTCCTTGCACCATCACCATGCATCTTTTTCTGACTTGAATTTAGATCAATGAAATAAAACATTTATATCTATGGGGAAAAAAAGAAAAGCAATTAGTATCTATCTTAAATCCATTTCTCTCTTTATCCCAATGGCTAAAATAAAAATTCTGCTGTCACTGACCCCTGTATTGTTATATTTAAATACCTTAGGTCTTGGAGGGCAAAGAAAGGAGATGCTGTGTACCTGGTTCAATATTACAGGAACTTGGTTGTATAATCATCACAGTCTCTGGGCAAGTTTTTAACTCTAGATTTCTTTCCTGTTGATCTAAGCCTCAAGGAAAATGAGTGTTACGTATCCCCAAAGTCCCAAGGAATATTTCAAAACATCAAAGGCCATAGGCTAACCTCCTGGGTGCTCAAATGGGGACTGACACCTATCTAAACATGTATATGTATGTATATATTCAGGTATGTATGGATACATGTTTGCATGAATATATTTATTATGTAAATGTGTGCAGGTATATAGCTGGATATAAATCAGAAATGAGATGTTTTATTAAAAACTAGTAATTTCATTACTGTAGGGCTCAGTTCCTTTCCCTGTGAAGTTTTGCAAAGGTCCTGGGGGAGTCAAGTTGAATAAATTTAAATTATGTAAATTATTCACATAATCATTCACTAAATCACTCTTTTAAAATATATTCATTTGTCCCTCCATTAAAGTAACATTTATTAGTGTATTTTTAAAATTTATTAATATGAGCACATGCCTAGGTAGATGTTTTAGTAGAAATGCGACGATGTATCATTACACATATATCACTGTGTTTATAATTAAGAGTATACAATTAGCACATTAAATGTTCTTCCAAAAAACGATTTTTAAGTCTGCATAAATGTTTGTTAAATAGATAGAGTATTTTAAAATATTTTTCTATCTTTTCATGTCCAGTGGGTTTTTTAAAAATTATTAAATAAAAATGCTACAGCAAATATATTCACGAATCATATATGGCACTCTGGTCTTATTATTTACTTAAAACAAATTCCTAGTAGTGTATAAAAGTCTCCATTCTTATGCCAAGGACAATTTTATCTTCAGAAAGTCTATACCAGTTTTATTGGAGAAAGTGATATATCAGTGATGCTTATATTTACAGTAGCTTGATAACTAAAGATATCGTTTAAAAAATTAACGAACAGAAACCTCAATTAAATAAAGTTGAGAGACCAGAAGGAGAAGTTCTCACACCCTAAGATGATAACAGAGCCCAACAAGAAGAAAAACCCCTATTCTTTTCTGTCAATGACTCAGCTAATAAAAAACCATGGAGTCTGTGTTTACTATGGCCCTCCTAACTTCCTTTTCCCCTCTACAGAAGTGTTCTCCTTCCCTTGATATGCAGGGATTTACACCTGGCTCACCATGACTGCAGAGCCCAAACCACAATTCCTGGTAATCCCAGAGAGACCTATCTTTTCTGGAGAAGTATCTATCAGTCTATTTGTTTCAGATCAACAATACCGATTTTTTTTCGAGCCTTATTGTACTCAGTTCTGAAATGCTTTCATTATTTTTCCTATGGACCTGGTTGAGGTTTTCTTTTTGATCTAATATCATTTCCTTGAGAACATGAAGGAACACATTTTAGACAGAGAAGAAAAGCTAGGATTGTGTAGTATCACAGATGTCACGGTAGACAGATTGCGGAGAAGTAGATTGCACAATAATACAACTTGTTGTAAGGTAGTCCAATTAGACAAGATTACTGGTGGCTTTGATAACAGACTCTTTACTGGAAACTTCAACTTGTGGTTGAAGCCAGATTATAAAGGAGGGAAGAAATAGAAATTGAGAAAGCAGAAATAATTAGTTTCAAAAATATTTTCCAGAAACTTACATGAAAGAAGAAAAGTCACTAATATTAAAGGAATTTTTGCTATTGGGTAAAAAAGCCATAAATTAAAACACACTGTAAACATGAGAAATAGAAGAAGTGAATGATGGTCTGAGCTCCCAAGAGCATATTTTGAGAACTTTGGTTGATCAGAAAAAGGAATTAGCAATAAACAAATACAGTAGAAATGGGAAAATAATGGCTGTACATGTCAAAAAGATTAGAATTTGAGAGGGTTCACTTTCTAATAATTTCATTTTTCTTTATGGGACAGACATTAATGGAATATTGAAAACCATGAGGGGCAGGAGGTGTACAAGAGAACTGAAGATGGCAAAAACATATTATTATAAACCATGTAGTAGGTAAAAACATAGCCATGTAATGAGATCCCAGTTAAAAGCTGAAATTATGAACAAATGTTGCTTGCAATCTGCATATGTGTTTACTTTCTTCAGAAGCGGTCCACAGTCTCAGTATAGCAACATTTGACACAGAGCACAGAATTGTTCCAGGGTTGGGGTTGTAAGGCTTTTGCGCTAGTAAGACGATAATTTTGAAGCATAAAATAGAAACTTAGTTGATGAACCACGGTGTTTAGACTTGTATAAAATTATTTAAAATTTGTGCAGACTATCTCCACTTGAGGATTATAATAAAAAATTAAAACCAGTGCCACTCCATGGACTGACAGTCTTCCAATAGAACCATGTGATGATTGGAAATGGTCTAGAAGTTACTGTGAAGGACATCATAACTGGTTAAAATCTCTTTCCCATCTGAAATACTGAGGACTGCTTAATCTTGAAAAGTTTCATATCATTTGGACTAAGTCCCTTCTATACTCCTGGATCACTCAGATGTCTTGACCCCAGTTCCATGCCCCCTTTGAAACACCCTGACAACCCTTTCCCGTATTTCTTTGGTCTTAACTCCATATACTATAGGGTTAAGAGCAGGTGGGAAGAGCAGATAAACATTGGCCAAAAGAATGTGAATATGGAGTGGAACATGATGACCAAAATGATGGGTAAAAAAGGAGAAGAGGGCTGGTGTATAAGAGATTAGGATAACACAGACATGGGAACCACAAGTCCCCAGGGCCTTGGACCGAGCTTCGTGGGATGAGAGACGAAGAACAGCTCGTGCAATAAGGACATAGGAAAGACCAATGCAGAGCAAGTCAACCCCAATGCCCAAACGTGCTGCTGCCAGCCCGTACACACGGTTGGGCCTGGGGTCTCCACAGGCTGGCGGCACTACGGCCATGTGCTCACAGTACGTATGTGGGATCACATGGCTTTGGCAGAAGCTCAGACGCCCAATGAGGAAAGGACATGAGAGCATGAGAATGGAGCCCCGCACCATAGCTGCCACTGCAATGCGGACAATGATGGTGTCAGTGAGGATAGTGGCATAGTGGAGTGGGTGGCAAATAGCCACATAACGATCAAAGGCCATGGCCAGCAGCACAGTGGACTCCATCATGCAGAAAGCATGAATGAAAAACATCTGTGCCAGGCATGCAGAGGCAGAGATGTGCCCAGCTCCACACCAGAGGATGGCCAGCAGCTTGGGGACTGGAGAGAAAGAGGCAGCCAAGTCAATGGTGGAGAACATGCGCAGGAACAGGTACACAGGCTTGTGCAGGACTGGTTCAGTGGCAACAACAACCAGGATGGTTACGTTGCCCACAATTGTGGCTGTGCACAGGCAACACACAGGGAGTGAGAGCCACAGGTGGAACTGCTCCAGACCTGGGATGCCCACCAGGAAGAAAACAGAAGAGTCCAGGTAAGTGTAATTAGGAGACTTCATGGTTTGGCCAAGAGTTCTGGGCATCTTCTTAGGTCAGAATCCCTCACATAGTATCACATCATCTGAAAAGACAACACACAACAGGATATGAATGAGCCTAGAGTTACACATCTGTTTCTTACACCCGGTGTGCATGTATCCAAATAGAAGAGAAAGAAACTCTCCTACTCCTT